GAAGCCATTCATTGAAGACCATTCGAAGAGAGAAAATGAAAGAGGACTCTGAGCACATTACCTGTAATGAACTTGACTTGGGGATTTCCATGGTATTCTTAGTGTCTGTAATAGCCACGGCCAAGGCCACCCATAATTGGAACCTGCCTTCAGGATTCCCATGCTCCCTGTAGAGGCAGGCAGAGCTTTGTTCCGCTGCAGGGTGAAGGGCCCAACTGACTGAGTACCTGGGGCTTGGCTTATATCATGAGCTTCTCTGTGCTGTGTGCCTGCTTCAAGCAAAAGGTCACCCCCAGGGGGCGAGGGAGGAACAGTGTTTATGGAGAGGGACTTGGGAGAAATTGACCCCCAGGTAAAAGGTGCCTGTAGATGCCCAGATTCCAAGGTCTGTTTGCATCTCTATGAAGCCATCAAGAGAAGGACTCCCAGCCTGCCTGCAGGTGGTAATCACCTTGCAAACTCAAAATGAAGTGTTTTCTCCATCACTCAGCAGATCAGATCAGGTGTGCAGCTTTACAGAGCATTGACACAAAGAGACCAAGCAGACGTGCCTGTGGGTGTGGTGGAGTGGGCTCCCATGGGACAGCAGAGAAAGACAGTTTGATTTGGGGGAAAAAAAAACTCAAAAAAACAAAAAACCACTTCAAAGAGGAAACCTGTGGGCTGGGAATGTGGCTCAGTGGTAAAGCACTTGCCTAGCCTATAGGCGGCTCCCAGCCCCATGCCCAACACTGCAGAACATCAACAACAGGAAAAGGAAGCCTCTTAGTGAGGAAAGTGCCACTTGTAGCCCCAGCTATCCCACATTCTGAGACATGAGGGTGGACTCGTCCTGTCTCCCTTCTAGAGAGCAGAGGTTTGAACTGTGAGGTGAACGCCAGCTTGTAACAGGGCCATGCCCCTCCTAGAAAGTGTCCCTAGGGACAATCTCCCCTTGCCTCTCCTGTCTTCAGGACCTTTGGGGCTGGTCATTTCCATACGGGCCTCTCCTCCATCAACACAGCCTGAGCTTGCTCTTCTGAGGCTCATGAATCCTTCATGGACTTTAGGATTCCACTGGGGCCACTCCAGGGGATCCAGGATGATGCCGCTTCTCAAGGCCCTGGACTTCATCCTACCTGCCAAGTCCCTCTTACTTGTTGTAAGGCATTCTACTTTGTTGCCAAGTCCCTCTTACCAGGTGTTCTACTTTGCTGTTATTTTTGTTTTTGTTTTTGTTTTTCTATGATAAACACCATGACCAAAAAGCAACTCAGGGAGGAAAAGGTTTACTTCAGCTTATAACTCTCAGGTCACACTCCATCGCTGAGAAAATCAGGGCAGGAACTCAAGGAAGGAACTGAAGCAGAGACCATGGAGGGATGCTGCCTACTGGCTTGCCCTTCCTGACCTGCTCAGCCTCCTTTCATAAACACCGCAAGACCACCTGCCCAGGGGGGTGGCTCCATCCACAGTGGGCTGGGCCCTCCCCCATCAGTCATCCATCAAGAAAATACCCCATAGGCAGACTTGATAAGAGACAGTTCTTCAAGTGAGGTGTCCTCTTCCCAGGTTGTAAAGTTGACACACATGATTAGCCATCTCATCATGTGAGATGACATGCTCACAGGCTCTGGGCATCTTGTGCAGATGGAGATGGGCATTAGTCAACCCAGCGTGGTACCATTCTTCACAGAGTACTCAAAGTTGCCACCCAGCTGCTGTGCAATTCTGAATACTAAAAAGAATACATGTTCTTCGTTGTTATTGGAATCAAGGAAGATGGCGATGTGTGAGCCAAAAGTCAAGCACTCTTAGGATTCTGTTCCCAAGAATGTCTTGCTGTAGTTCCTAAGGACAGTACCACAGAGTGTCTAGTAGGAACAGCCCAACACTTACCTCAGGAGCATCCCTAAGCATCACCTGGGACCAGCAGAATGGAGACCGTCCCTTGACCAGGTGTGTCTGGCTCTTCCACAGGACACTGAACTCCTGAACACAGCCATCCTCACCGGGAAGACGGTGGCCATGCCTGTCAGGGTGGTGTCGGTGGAGGAGAACAGCACAGTGAGGGACATCTCAGAGCTGGTGGAGTGCAAGGCCATGGATGAGGATGTCATCAAGGTAGGTGGGCCTGGTGGGGGTCTGTTCCAGCCTTTCAGACACTGGGAGAGTTTTGACGAAAGGGAGAGGTTCAAATAGGGTTCAGGTACCCAACTCTTGGAGGAGCTTCACTTCCCATTCCCCCCTCACCTCTTCACTCTGCAGCATGTGACTGTATTTTTCCACTCTTTATCCGTTCATCCTTTCTTCCTGCTCCCTCCTTCCTTCTTTCCTTCCTTCCTTCTCTTTTTCATTCCTTCTATCTCCTTCCTTCCTTTCCTTCCTGTGTTTAATTATCAAATTAAACTTAAATCCATTTACCATAAAGAAAGTTTTTTTTTTAAATCTACACTTTGCCGGGTGGTGGTGGTGCATGCTTTTAATCCCAGCACTCGGGAGGCAGAGGCAGGCGGATCTTTGTGAGTTCGAGGCCAGCCTGGTCTCCAAAGCGAGTTCCAGGAAAGGCACAAAGCTACACAGAGAAACCCTGTCTCAAAAAAACCA